TAATATCTTGCTGATATTCAAAGCCCGAGATGCTGCAGTTTAATTTGGAATAAATGAAATGTCACGCTTTGTTGTTAGTGCTGGGCACTTCACTTAAGAACAGACATTTTAAAAATAGAAGTTACTGGCTTACAAGATAGGTAGGCCCATGGCCAGAGCTGGGATAGTTCAGAGTACTAATAATCTGTTTCTCTTCGTTTCTAGAGACAAGTTTGCTTGTGTTTTTGCAGGTCAGTGACATGCCTCATTGTTCACAACAGTTTTGTTTTTGTTTTTGTTTTATTTTTTTCCCATCTGTGTTCTTTTAATACAAAGTATACAGCTTGCACTGGCCTGTAACCTATGTGGATTGTATCAATTTTACAGTCAATGCACTCTGGAAGTCTTAAAACGTGACAAAGGGACTTTGAGACAGAAACTACCAGCACATGCTTTTCTCCTCTCTGGTCTTTTCTAGGGAAGCTTATACATGCATTCTCCCTGTGGATCCCAGATTGCAAAGCCAGAGACAGCTTTTATATTTCAGTTAATATTACCTCTTTCTTCATCAGTCACATGAGACCTCTTTGGGCAGCAAAATTGTCTGAAATTATTTGGACACTTGTATCTTTTGGATAGAACTCCTGTTATAAATAGCATTTACTGATTGCAGCTTTTTTTCTTTTCTTTTTAAACACTGGTAGAGCTGTTTACACTGTTTCTGTATGCACATATCAGGAAAGGCTTTTAGTGTTGGGCTCAGCACACAACCAAGAAGTCCTTTGGAGTGGTAATAGATTTGTAGTCTGGGAGCTGAAGGCCACATGAAATAACTTTTTTCCCCCAATGGAGAATTGAATAACATGACGTAGTATTCCGATATTATTCTTTATATCAAAGCCAGCTGTGCTCCCAGAACGGTGGTACTGGAATCTCCACAAAATTAATAGTGCCAAAGATGTTGGGGGAGGGGGCAGGGCATGTTAAAATATGGGACCATCATCTCTGTAAGGTGCTAACGTTTCTAATTGGAATGGTAAACCACTGCATAATGCATAAAATATCCTGACATCCTTTCTCTATGGTGATTTTAATGTGCTTCTTTTTATTCCTCTTCTCTCCCTATGTTTTGTCAGTGCTTTCATGGGGTCCTGTACCATTATGAAGTATTACCAATTTGCTGCTTCGCTTTGGTTTTCTAGAGGTTCAGCATCTGTAAAAGTGACAATTACAAGTGAGCTTATATTGCTCTGAGGCTAGGAATTCTTAAGGCTTCTTCGAGGACAGCTGGCACAGAGCAAGTAAAAGGCTTGGGGTTGGGGTGTGTAATGTTCTTTCCAAAACTGTAAACAGCCCAGCATGCTGTCCTGAAATGCCCTGAAGGGAGAAAACTGTTAAGGAAACAAAGCTGCCAATTATAGAAAAATTTCTGACTCTCCACTTTCAGAATTTCTGTGGTGCCCTGGACCACATCCAGGGCATCAGCTAATCTTCCAGTTGTTGGACTCCACTTTTGGTCATCCTGATTAAAAAACCAAACCAACCCCCAAAACCCTCAACAACGAGAAGAAAACAGAAAAATACCAATCCCTGAGCAGTTCCTTGTTTTGGTGGTCAGCTGTTTATCAGTTGTGATAGCATGGGTATTTGTAATAGAAGCTGTTACTGAATCGGTCCACCACTTGCCTGGACAGGTTTGATCCAGTGAGCTGCAAGTTTTCTTTATGCTGAGGCCCGAGAAGTATTTTCAAACCCACTGTGTTTCATTTAAACTTTGTTAGATGGCTACCGAGTAGCTATAAATATGGTTGGTACTTCCATGGTTTATCTGCTAATGGTATTTAATAACATGCTGTCATTATTCAGCTTCTTATATTTGAGCAAAATGTTTTGAGTTGGTGCGTATCTTTACTAGATTAGAGAAGGAACTGGGTCCTTTAAAAAAACCCCAACAAAAAAACAAAACCCCAACCAAAGCAACCCCCCAACCCCCCTGCAAAACCCTCCCACACCCTCAAAAAGAGAAACCCAACCCAAGAGAGAAACCCAACCCCAACCAAAAAAAAAAAACCCAAAAACCCAACCAAAACTGAACATATCCAATAACGAGGCTAAAGGCTTCCTGCTAAAGTGAGCGAAGGTAATGCCCCTGTCTACACTGCATCTGTTTCTCCATTTGAAGGCTCTAATTTTCTTTGCCAGTCTGAAGTGTTGCTGAACGTGTCACCAGCTAGCGGAGAGCAGTTACTGTATTCAGGCTAATTCAGATAAAGGAGTAAACCTTCCCCTTATGAGGCATGGATGGCCCCCAAAGGCATCTGGAGTAACACTGGAGTGCCAGCCCCACTCAAGAAGGATGCATTCAGTGTTTTCTGAAGAGATCCCAGCTTTTAAAAAAGTTGAGCATGTTAGCAGGGCACTGTGTAGGCATTCGAGCCCTGGGTTTCTTTTGTTTTGTTTTCAAATGGGATAAAGAGGTGAGTCAGAAGAAGCTGAAAAAACGAGGGACAGTCCCTGAGGGAAAAATATCAAGTTCAAACACGCTCAGGAGGCTCGCATATGAAGTGTTTGTTATAGCCAAATTAGTTCAAGAAATTAGACACATCTGCAAAGATTTAGATAAGCTGTCTTAAGGTAGGTACTTGATTTTATATATTGGAGATGACTTAGTCTTTCAATAAGGTGAATACAAGAGGGTCACTAACTGCAGTTGTAGGTGTTATCTGTTTCTTTATTTTACAATATGTAAACTTGCCCTTGGCATAAATAAACAAAGATGTTTGTTAAACCTCTTGATTTCCTTGTTGCTATTGTACTTCAGGGAACATTAGTCCTTCTGATAGGACTGAAATGTTCCCAAGTTGTCAGAGCTTGTTCTTTCTCATGAGTAATTGGGTTATCCTGCTTGTAAATTATCAGGATCTCTTAAGTTATTTAGGTTGTTTGTCCTTTACAGCTATCGAAAGGCTATTTCAAAGCTTTATGTTTGAGATCTCTTCAAACTTCCAGCTTATTCCAGCTGCAAGTCTGGTTTTCCGTTTGTGTCCGGTTTATATGTTTATTCTTGGTCTGTTGTAGTCCTTACTCCTTGAATGCACCCATATAGAATATTCAGCTACTGTTTTCTTAATTTTACTAGACGAAACTAGACTTACAGCTTCCTCCTGTAAAATAGGCTTTTTATTGGCTATATTGTACTGAGCTGTCCTTCCCCTCCACGCTGCTCACCATCTGAATCCAGTCATTTCTGAACATGGGTGACTGGTGCTGTTTCAGAATCCAGATGAGGATTTATTAGCATTTAGTGAAAAAAGATTTTTGGTTTAGTGATTCCTGTATTAGACTGTACTTTTGGCTGTATCTACTCCAGTTATCCTTGTTCTAACTTTTTTGGGTCTGGGCTTTTTAAATCTGTACAGTTGCTTTTAAGAATCTGCTTGCAGCATGACATCTGTAGTTTTTGTGTTGCTTTCCAGTAAGGCTTTTATTTTGTAGAATAATTCCTACCTAATGTTTGGCTGACTTTCACAGATTCTCGAAAGAAGGCTTATTTTATGCTGTGGAGTTCAGCTTCTCTAAAATAGATGATCCCCATGCTGTTCACATTAAGCATCAGGGGATTTCCAGCTAGCTTGAATTTCTTTGTGGTGAATTTCTTTTCTAGGAAGATGGATGCCTTTACTTGTTCATCACTTCAGTACCCTTTATTGTACTTTTACAAATGAAAACTGGTCTGCTTTATTAGAACTCATTTTCTTGGCTTATCTCTTCAGACAGCTCCTCCCTGTAAGCAGCAGCTGTCTTAAATCATCTGCTCAGGATGTTTTTTTAGGGAAAGTGGGAGGAAAGAAAGGTTTGCTAATGACCATTTTGAATTCTGTCATTTAACAATTCATCTCTTCTTGTGTACATGAACCCTTTTTCCCTGTAGGTGTGTTTTTTGCTTTTTTAAGTACTTCTTTAAGCCACTTCCTTCTCTGTTTAACATTGATGGTTTTGTTCAGTGTAACATGAACTGAGGAGGATTTATCTTTAGATCTTTACGTTCTAAAGAGATGACGGAGTAGTATGCGCGCTCTGCTGGGATCAAAAGGCAATAGCATTGCAGCAGCGTTTCTTGGTTTATGTATTCTAAGAAACTTCTTGTTTCTGGAGAGCTTTTTTTCTCAACTCCAATGTATGAGACCACTCAAAAGCTGTGTAACTTGGTTGCTGTTAGGGTACCTATATTTAGTTCTTTCAAAGAATTAACTTTTTTCCTAGAAAACAGGTATTAATGCTTTCCTTAACAGCTCAAAGTGTACTAAAAGCATTTATCTTTGCCATTGTGCATTACTTGGGTGAACTGTTGTTCTAAGAGCAATGTAGATAGAAAAATGATGTGCAGGCAGGCGAAATGAATCATCTTGGTGGAGCTGGCCGAGATGTCACGCAGTGTAAGGTTTTGGTCCAATATATGGTTGTTTTCGTATGTTGTAAACTACTGTGATGGAGTTGGAAGTAACTTGGACTTGAGGTCTGTCAATCATCTGACCTTTGCAGTGATCATAATTACTACTACTGAAATTTGAATAATTCCCCAGAGACTCCTCTGTCATATTGTCAATTTTTTAACTCTATTCCTCTAGCTATCGGTCACCCTTCCCAGATAGGACCTAAATCTTCAAGGTGTAAAGACTGTCTCTTCACAAGTCTTTTTTTCTTTATTATATAAAGCAAGAGACGGAGGGAA